ATTGCCCTCTATGGCTCACTCCTTGAATCTTGTCCGTGTGTATTCTGCCTCATCGTGCCGAGAAGAAGTTAAACTATTTAGAATCATCCAAAAAGTATTTTGCATTTTTGTCGAATCCACTTCTGGATAGGATATTATAAAAAATTTACAAAAACCAACTTAAAGGGAAACAGTCAGAGGAGATAGTCGGCAAAACATGTGTCCCTATTTATCTTTATGTGGAATCAAAGTACCAGGTAGGACTTCCGCTATATGCTGTGAAAAATTTTGCATTCATTATCAAACTGATAATTTAGGCTAATATTCTCAAAAAAAAAAAAAAATCGAGTCAATACTGAAATTTAAAAGGAAGATATTATTATCATTCATTTCTTTCCATTAATGGAAGGTCTGAGAAATGAAATTGAGCCTATTCTGACAAATAAACGAATACTAAAGAGGAAAAAAAAAATTGCAAATGACGAAATTTAATGAACTATGAGAAGACGATACACCAACACTTCAGCCTCTGGCTATTTTCTAAGCCACTAAAGATTGTACTTGATCGAAACTTATCAGAAATTAATACGAATGTTAACAACGCTACTACACTAAATTTAAATTTTGTATTTCTCAATGTTCATCAAATATTGAATGCATCAACTGAAGAAATGCGAAAGAATAGCAGAACTTGCACGAAAATATGAGCGCGACCTAAGGGCATTTGAGTTCTACTAGAACACTCGCCGTTTTTGAAGAACAAGCCCATTATTATTCGGCGACATGAAAAGACTACCGCTTTGTATCTCTTGCAACAGATCACCTACGGTTTCCAGGATGCATTTTAACAATATTTGTATTGCGATGCGGATTTACTCTACTCTTCTGACCACATTCCCAAGATGCGCCCGAAGTTTTAGAAAATTCAAACTAATTAAGAACTATTAGCGATCATCGAGGAGTCAGGAACTTTTATCTAGTCCCGCAACTCTGGCAATCGAAAATCAAACCGCACATCAAATCATTTATGGCGATACTATAGACTTATTTTAAGGACAAAAGGCTGGCAGACTTAAGTTTTCATTTTCGATAATAATTCCGTTATATTTTGCATTTCAATACAAAATAGGGCCTCACCAGTGACGGAATGGTTAAGAGAGCTGAATACTGTTAGTTCGACCTGGTTTGGGTACAAACCCAGACGAACGAAATGGTTGCATAATTGGTTTTCCCCACGTGTAACGTGAATATGAACCAGTTTCCATTAGAAAATCCTCCACGAAGGCACCCTTCCTTTTACGTAATTAGCCATCGTGAGTTTGCCACATTCAAATAACCTAACCTGTATGCAGTGAATATGAATTGGTGAGAAGCTTGAACGGGATCCTCTTGGAGAGGAAACACGAATGGTGGCAAGGACAGGAGGATTAGAGGCACTCGAGCCTGAATCCGAAGGAGAGCTTACCGGAAAGGCGACTGCCCTGGAAGGGACACGCGGTTTTCAATTATATAACTTTTGGTATGCATCTTTCCTTTACAGCAAAGAATGGCACTTTAAGAATTTCTTAGTATAAAATGGATTTTATATTTCATCACAAACCCTTCTCTAATTCTGTGTTTATTAAAAAAAATGAAATCTTTCTAAAAAAATTTTAAAGGAGGATGAGCGAGGGCGGAAGTTTTAAGTTTTTGGTCCAACTCGGAAAAATACAAGATCCGGAGCTGCGTCAGTGGTATTGTGATATGAGATAGACTCATCATACCTGATAATAGTGGTAGTCAAACAGTGATAATGCTGCAGGGTTGTATTATGCGATTTTTCAAAACAGTTATTATCGAGGGCCACAGACAGAACTGGAGATTAAGACCTTTAGGACTAACTATTTAAAAAAAAAAAAAAAAAAAAAAACAGCTGCAACAGATGCTATTGTAAATGCACAGCCGAAAAATTAAGAGGAACCTGATATAATGTATGTGGATTTTCAGTTGCCCAGATTACCATAAGGATGGAGACGTACTTTATCAGTCCACAAAATGTTTCATAACCATTGTCGACTTCCATCTGAGCAAGAAATTGAAGAACAAGCATTTCACATGGATTAAATGTAATTCTTGAATATGGGAAATTTTAAAAGGATAACACTTCAGGGCGTGTTTTAAAAAATTCCATACCATATCCAAGGATTCGTCAGTTGGCCCATACCAATGACGCAGCTAGAGCTTTTGCTCCTTCCCCCGGTGGTTCCTGATTTTGTTCCTTGGATAAACTTTGAATTCACAACTCCTTTTGATATATGAACAGATAACTAAAAATATCAAAATGGCATGTAGGGAAATTTAAACTATGTTTATTTTTGATAAAAATATATTCATTTAAACACTTTAAAATTATATTATTTTGTTTGCAAAACCATTGATGACATCATAGAGATGTACTCGATTTCTCCAGTTGCTGTTACGTACACAACAGAGATTTCTTAAATGCAAATAAGCATTTGTGGTTTAAATACTTCTTAAATGATTTTTAATTAGAAAACTATTCTCAAAACAAGCAACACTAGCAGAAATTGTGAGAAGGAAGGTTTGATGCTGTATTACAATATTTTGAAATTTCTTCTGAAGACGAATTTAGAATACAGTGAAAAATTTTTAAATAACCACACTTCCACGTTCCCGCTTCTTTTTCCAGGATACAGAATACTCTTAATAAGGAGTTTTTTCTCATTGATGTGACAGTCAACATAAGTTAGCCGATATTTGTAATTTTCATTCAAAAGTTTCAACAGAACAAAAACCAAAAAAATATATATAACAAAAGTTATGTGCCTGGTGAATTTTTTACACACTTTAGATCAGTGGTCTTCAAAATTTGTCAACTAATGGAACCCTTAGTAATAAAAGCTTCTTTTGGGGTTCCCACCCTTAGAAAAACCTATCTTAAAATAACATTTAAAGTAGGTCAATATGTTATAGGTACTTTATGTAAAGTATTGTACTTTTTATTTAAAATATTTTGAATGTAAAATTAATAACATTAACTCGTACTCCAGTTGTCACCCAACACGTTTAATGACACGGGTTACATTTTTTTTATACAAATTGTCCAAGTCTAACTCTATTGATGTTATCTATTGCTTAAATTTTGATTTTAGCATTGAATCTGTTGATATATCAATAAGTAGTTTTCTTTCCTTCATTGACAAACCTTCCAATATAAGTATCATAGTACATAAATAAATTTTTTATCCAGTCATGCTTTGTTTATTCTTCTGGGATATATTCTTTTATAGTTTTTGTTATTTGAAGCAGTATTCTATTGTATAACTGTTAACTCTGTAGTCTAAATTCAGTTCATTTTCCATTAGAAAACTTTACTTTTGCAAAACACTGCACGCCATTCTCATTTACATACGACGACCACATGATAAGTGTTAAAACTAATCAGTATTTAAATGCTAGTTAACTAGGGTGGAGTGTGCTTTATAATTTTCTTTTCGAACTTTTATTTTGATGTGGAACCCCGAGTTTGATCAATGAAACCCTACGGTTCTGCGGAACACAGAAGCTATTTTGTCCCCCTTAATTTAATTCCATATGGGAATTCAAAAGCTCATTATTATTTACCTTCCTCGGCAATTCACAAATCTGATCTCTATAAAATAACATTTCATGCGAAAAATACCGCCCCCAAAAATATTACACACGGAGCTGACTGCCCTCTCCACCCCCCTCTAGCTATGCTACTAGCTAATATATGCACTAGTATAGCTACTAGAGTTACTCTCTTCCTGTCACATTAGTTATTACTTGTTTATAAACTAGTTTCCACCCCCTGAAAAATTTATGTCCAAAGAGTTTTTTTTTTCCCCAAAATTTTATAATTTTTATACATAAGCCATTTACAAACACTAGACCTTTCTGAAGACTTTCGATTAAGAACTGTCATTCTGATACAACAATTTTTCAAATTTAGTGAGATCTTTTACAGATAAGGTTTTGTTTGGTTTATTTGATCATGGCAAAGCACACAATTACTATCTTCATAAGGGGTGGGATGCTTTCATGGATGACTTTCTAAGGGAATTGGCTCATATCCATGTTACACAAAAGGAAAATCTTGAAAACACCTATACAACCAGCCCGTTTGCCTGAAGCTGAAACCAGGCCAAACAACTAGTGTTCAAAGACTTTACTGCTCGGCCACTGGTAGGCCCTCTTTTGAGGATAAAACCATCATAATAGAATGATTCTTTTTTTTCCCCCAAGCAATAGAATGCACCTTCCATAGTTTCTTTAATTGTTGTAAACATCTGATGAGTATATGTCGCATTCAAATAATATTTAATCTTTTGATATCACCATCATATGCATTACAGTTATATAACAATTTTTTTTAAAGTTTTCTTTCTCAAACAAAATTCTGTTACTTCATGAATATTCATGCAAAATCGTAAATCATTCTCAACAGCATTTTTTGTTTCAAACCATTTTGAAATGAGATCTATGATCATTCACAGAATAACACTTTAAAAAGGGCAGAATTTTCAGATTGATTTCACTCACCTAAAAATGATTTACTATACAAATTTTCTCTTTTGAAAATATATCTTTTCTGTTTTGTTATTAAAACTATTCAATATACATTAAAATAAAACAATTTGAAAAGGAAAAATATAAAAATTATGTAGACTATTTTTATGAAAGGTATGGATACAGATTAGAACACATAGATGAAATGCAAAATTTAATATTTTGATACAGCTATTACACAAAAAAGTGATTTATTCCACATCAGAAACTTTAAAACACATAAATAAGGATCATACTAACTTCAAAACTTAAAATTCCATGATATTACTTCACAAAACTGATTCTTATCGTAAGAAAGCAACTTAGTATCTCACAGCAGCATGAGTATAAATCAAATGCAGAAACATTTAATTAAAGCAACTATTTAAAAGCAGCAAAGTCCCAATTCAAACTGTCTAAATATTTCTCCTTACAATGAAATTATGCGAGACTTAATTTCCAAACATATTTATTAATTATTCAAATCAACAGAAATTCCATAAACTCCATAACAGTTCAAAATTCTTATCACAAAGCCCTTACAAGGCTCAATAACAATATAAACAGACTTGCACATAATTAAATTAACAAAATGTGAAGTTTTAATATAAAAATAAATGACATTTTTTTAGAATTACATATTATAAACAAAAGTTACAGTTACCAAATCACAACATTAAATTTTGAAAACTTAACAATAACACAGGGTGCTTAATATCACAGTTTACATACAGAATTCAAAAACAATAATACTGATAGGCATACAAATTAAAATTAAGTACAAAATTTAAGGATTCAATTAATCCACAAAATGCATTTTGTTGCAAAATACATATAAACAAAACTTTCATCTAATCACAGATGCTTTGTGAAAAGATTAACTCATATTATTTCATTATTTTTTGACTAATAATAGGGTCATATAAAATTATTTGCATTTTAATATAAAAAAATAATACAAGCTATTTCCCAAACACATATTTTTCAATAAGTTACAACAACTCATTAGAATTTTCAGAGCAAAATGATAATGAAGAAAAATCATTTTCAGAATCAAAAACATCTTTTAAAGAAATACCATATATTTCTTTCCAATAATCAGCAGACATATCTTCTAGGGATACGTTATTATTTTTAGAAGGACTGTTGGATTTTTCAGATGCTTTAACATTTAATCTTAAACCAGTCTTCCAAGAATACAGAAGATTCTGAAAAACTTGTATTCTTTCACGAGAAATATTATCAGAACTCTCTAACAGAAGAGACCATAAGTCACCACAGATATCAAAACATCTTTGGAATCGCTGGCCAGAGCTATGTTCAAGCTTTTCTTCTACCAAATAAGTATTTTGTAAATCTACATATGTATGCCGATAGCTTACGGCTGTCCATCTTATTGCACATAAAGAACTATCAAATAAAGACACAGAAAGATATTTCCTCAAGGCAAAGATATGACAACAAGGTAGTGACATCAATCCGTAAAAGTCACAAGAACATGTATTTGTCATGACTAAAATATCAGAGCTACAAGTATATCTTCCACATGATAATCTTTGAAAACTTTTTATAGAAACTGCATCATCCATCTGTTCAGCCACTACTTCGGCAGCATACCGAGTAAGAAATTTTGAATATTTATGACAAGCAATTTGTTTTTGCTGAGCTGGTACCAATGCATTATGAAAAACAGCTGTAAAATTTTGAAATCTATCTTTTCTAAATCTGGAAAGAAAAGAAGAAAGCTTTTTTATAATATTTTCCACAGAAGTTTCAGAACTTATCACTGGCCTTATTTTTTTCCTGATATAAACTAAATAATTATTAAATGATTTAAGAAACTTTTTGGATTTTAAGTGAAGCCCTACAGCCCACAAATCTCTTTTTGGATGCCATTTTTTTCGGAAAAGGATTGCAACAGGAGAAGATAAGGTCTTGAGTTGCTTCAGAAGCTCAGAGTACTCGGATTCATCTGATGCAAAGATCATACGTTCAAAAATTTGAACAGTTTTATTGATATCTTGATCAGAAATTTTACAATCAAGGTTAGAAAGATCTCTTTTTAATGCTTTTAAAGAGTGAAAAAACGAAACCAATACAATTTTATCAGCAAAAGACTGTTTAATAGCTTCCATGCTAAACAAACTTTTATCAGAAGTAATAACACATATTTTCCGCCAATTTGGATTATGCTTCTTAAAAACTTCACATAACCACATAAGTCCTGAATTGTCACTTTTAATTAGGCCTACTGAAACAATTTCACAATATCCATTAGCATCTGCACTTATGAACAAGCATAAATAACGTTCTAGTTCAGCTATTTCACACAGCACATCAATACATATATATTCTGGATAATATTTGAAAAATGCATGCATTAATTTATCTTGAAAGAAAATGCTGTTGTTCTTCCGTTGAACATCAGGCATTACTTCATATTTGAAATCATATTTTTCTAAAATATTAACAACTGGTAATAGATGAACAGTCTCATTTGGCTCTTTTATGATAGTATATCTTTGAGTGGAGTGTTCTGAATAATTATTGCACTTTTTATCTTCTGCTTGGTCACATTTCAAAGCTTCAGACTTTGAAGATCTGAAAAATACAAAGTACATAATGTAAAAAAAAAAAAAAAAAAAAAAAAAAAAAAAAGAGGAGTTTTTGAGTTTTTTTTAAGCAAATTAAAATTACAGTTAATCAAAACATAAATTACTTAAATTGTCTCTTGCTTTTCTCTTCCCACAGATGTAAAATTCAGTTTGCTAATTTATTTATGCATTTATATTTTTATTAAATTAAAATACACAAATACTTATGTCATAAGAGTTTATGTTATTAGCTTATTTTATAGAAATTCAGAATAGCCTAATGTTAGTTGAATAGAAACAGGTTATATAATTTGTTCTTAACAGGGACAGTGGGTATATTTTAGGTAATAGGGGGTGACAAGCATGTTTTGGCATTCAAACTTAATTTTAAAACAACACACAACATTTATTAAACCGGTTATCCGGTTTACACCATTTGTACCACCGACAAAATGAACTTGCATAAGGGTTCCCCCTCAGGCAATTTTAAGAATGGCGAGACTAATTTGTATTGGAGATGGATGATGCGCTCTGAAACAAATTCAGTTTACTGAACAAATGATCAGCATTCTGATGAAAACAGAACAGCAATTCTTTAACAGTTCACTGACAACTGTTGTTAGGAAGTGTGCCAAAAAATTTGATTCCTGATAATGTAAACACTAGCAGTCTTTTCTTTATTATTCACTGAAAATGTCTCCAACCTATTTTTTTATGTGTGTATGCGAGTTATGTATGTATACATGTGTGCTTTTCGCTTCCTTGTGTTCCTTCTAGTATTTAAAAAACAAAACATTAACTAAACTGACCACCCAGTTTGCAAATGCATGGAGTTTCCCTCCCCCCATCTTGCAGTGTGAGGATCCGTTTAAAGCATGTAGATTATAGGAACTAGTTCCTTTGATTCCATGCTGTCAGTGCTTTAGCACTAGTCACAGATCTGGGTTCTTTGCAGTCTTTATTATTTTCTCTTTTCGTCATTCCTGTTCTAGCTGCGAATCCGATTCCAACATAGTTTTCATTTTCCGTTCCTGCTCTAGGCACGAATCCGATTTTTACAGAGTTTCCATTATTTGCTCTTTTCATCGCTTCTCTGCTCTAGCCACAAATCTGGCTCCTGCGGAGTCTTGATTAATTTCTCTTTTTGCTTCATTGGAGCTGTTCCTTCGAGTTTTTGATTCTTTGAATACTGTGTCATATTATAGCTGCATATATTAGGTATTACCTTTCTTATACAATATTACTGTAATAGTTATGTAAAATAAATTAGATTTTTATTTATTTACTTATTTTATCAACATCTTGTAATCAAGAGCTCTGAATTTCTCTTTAATCTTCTTTAGAATTAGTATATATTTATAAACAAATTTTAACAGCTTCATAATGGCAATTCTATCACAAAATGCATCCGACGGCTCAGTCATCCACTCACTACAAAGCAACATACATGCACTTGAGTCCTGGCTACAAACCTGGAAGACAAAGATGAATGTAGACAAGTCGGATGCAGTGTGAAGAAGTACAAAGAAGAGAAGTACTGATGCCAGCATACATGTTTACATGTACAATACTCCTATTCCGTGGACCAAAGCAGCCCTGATATCTTGGTGTCATTTTAGATCACTGGCTCACATGGTCCCCTCACATTACACAGTTCTTAGCCAAGTTCCGAGTGCATAAACGCACACTCACACCCTCAATTGCTCAGAACAGCATTCTTTCTACTGATAACAAAATACTCATTTTTATAAGACCTTTTCGCATCCCATGGTCACCAATGTTTGTTCTATTTGGGGTTAGGCTTGCAAAACTTCTATGCAAAAATTACAAATTATACAAAATATTGGGCTCAAACAGGCGGTGGGTTGTTGCTGGTTCATTAGGAACTCTGCAATTCATCGCAGAGATTAAAATCCCTGAAATTTATATATATATATATATATATAGCATATATTCTAGGCATGGAGGTGGAAAGTGTTTTGCTTACATGAATGACAAAGTATCCATCCATCCATAAGAGATGTTTATGATGTGAGAAACTCAGAGTTATTAGTTTGTGTACGAGGCCCTCTAGCCAAACACAGTCAAAGGCCTTCGCAACATCCAGAAATATGGCTCCAGTAATTGATTTTTCTAGAAGTCCTTGGGAGATCACCTTTGTTACCCAGTAGAGTTGATGGTGAGTAGAATGCCTGTTTCAGAATCCATATTGCTCTGCAATCAATAGCCTATTGTCTTCAGCACGAAGAAGTATCCTTTGTAGAACAGCACACTCGGCAACTTTGCTGAGGAAGGAAAGAAGGTTGATGGGTTTATAGGAAATTAAGTCGCACAGAGATTTATCAGATTTCAACATAGGCCAGATGATAGTTGTTTTTCAAACTGTGGGATAGTAGCCATATCAGAGCATATTGTTGATGATCTTTACCAGTTTGAAGACCTTATGAATGCTTATATTCTTCAATCATTTATTGGTGACATTATCCATTCCAGAACTTTTCCTGGTCTTGAATTTATTGATGTGATCCTAGACCTCCGATGGTTTAACATTTGGAATGTTGTTAGTGTGTGGCAAGCAAATTTTGTGACTATGTAATCACGAGTTCAGAGACTGGGTAAGTGGGATATGCTGCTTATGCAGAAATGAGTAACATGCTGATTGGAGAGTAGCTTGGCTTTCTCAATCTCCATGCATGCAATTCTTTGAGAGCCAGTTAAGGGCAAAGTATTCTTGTATCAGCTCTGACGTTTGGAGATAACCTTCCAAACAGAGTAACAGAGTTATCCTCTACAGAGAAAGAAGATGAATAACTCAGTCATATTCTGTATGTTGGCATGTAAGGATCCAGACCTAATGATTAAGTTGGTTCAGCAGGACTTTTCAGGAGATTATCTAGAACATAGCCATTATCTCCACACAGCATTACATATTTGGATTAGTTTTTTTGATTTCAGCATTACAGGTTTTTCTCCTGTTACTGAGAGGAGTGCTATTTTACTGCAACACATTTTGCAATTAAGAAGTGAAATTCATATCTGTCATTAACTCTTCACCTGTATGTGCTGTTGGTAGAGAGGGATTTAACTTTGGTGAACCCAAACCCATTAGTAATAAAGGTCTTTTTGTGTGGTGTACTACAAATGCATTGAGATCAATTAAAACTGGATTATGATCCGAGAAAATTTCACTCAGGCTTTCAACATACTCACTCAAATTTCAAAATGGATACATATTGCTGATGCAACACAAAAAATAATAAATAAATTTCTGCTTATATTTATAGAAAGATCCATAAAAGAATGGAACAAGTTACCAACATCCTGCTTATAAAATATACTTTTTGCAAGTACAGTCAAAAGTCTTTAATCCGAACTCGTCGGGACTTCGGTGATTCCGGATTATCGGTTTTTCCGGATTATAGATCATCAATTTAAATCTGGTAAGATGGCATGCAGAAATTATAAAATTAAAAGTATGAAACCGTAATTTATGAAATAAAGAGCAATTATGATCTAAAGGGTATCCAAATTTACAAAAAAAAAAGGTTAATATTTATTTGTTTACTTCATTAAATATTTCTTTCAACATGCGCATGCGTAAAGCATACATTATGTATAGTCAAAATTAGAAAATTGCAACCAGAAAACTATTTGATGTGTACTCGTGATATTTATAATGACGAGGAATTTGATTTAAATCATATCTAAAGACTGAATACATCGAGATTAAATACTACATTTAGTAAGGAATTATAAGCTGAATAAAATAAAAATATCTGCCCTGAAGATAAGGATAGTGCTGACAGATCAACTTCCAGTTCATTGTGTGCCGCGGCGTCCCCCCCCCGCAGAGCAGCATGAAATTGATAAACAGATTTCAGAATGGTTAGAGAAACAAAGGATATGCCTTTATCCATTTTTTGCAGCAATTCCACTTTTTGTTTGATGGACATCGAAACATGCTTTCGCTTTGTAGATCCTTTGGCAGCTCCAGAATCGGAAATTCTTTTCGACATAATCGAAAGTTCAAGCTTACTTTTATAAAATTGCTCTAACAGTCTGCAAAAAATAAGCCAGATCCAATTAGAAGATTAAGGAACAACACAATCTGCAACATTAACTGAAATACATAATTAGATAATTTCAGCTTAGCTTTTACCATCGGTTATACATTAAATGCGCAGGCATAAAGGTATTATGCGCATGCGTTTATGCATGCGCAGAAAGTTTGTAGTTTTGAGGTCCGGGTTATAGATCATTCCAGATTATGGACATCCGGATTAAAGACTTTTGGCTGTATCATATTCAATTTATTGTTAAATATTTAATACCGCTACTTTACTAATACTGCGATAATACTTCAATTTTTAAATATTTAAAATCACTTGAACAATGCAATTATTCATCTGTATTTATACATACATTTAAAATATTTTTAAGAGTTTTTCTTAAGAAGGTGTCGTATATGCAATTATAGTACAGAATAGTAGCTATTAGTGTAGATTAAACAACATATAGATGATCTTATATAAACTTACTTTTATTTAGATCTTATATAAACTTTTTATTTATTAATAACGCCAAGCATTGGTTCAAAATATACCAGTTGTGCCATATAACATATTTACGAGTTACTAATAAGTAAAAATGAGATTATGCAAGATCTGTTAAACATTTAATCTTCATTAGCAGTTACCATTCTATATTAGAGTTACATGATAATTCTTTTTAACAGAAGTAAAAATATTATACATCTTCTTTTAAGTAATAAGGTTTTTTTAGGTCCGACCAAATAAAATAACAATTATGTTAATTTTCAAAAGTTGGTGACTCAATATCTCTCTCCCAATTTGGTGACAAGAATTCCGTTACTTGAAGGATTTAAAGGCAATTCTAAAGCAATGAATTTACTTAAAGCATTTGGAGTATCGTAGAATCTCTCTTAACCCTTCCCGGCATGCTACCTTTTAAAGTTGGAGTTTTGATTAAAATAAAAGGTCGGCAGTC